TGTTACGCTGCCTGGCGCACGACATTAAGGGAATAAAACAAGGGCTTGTCGGCTCGGAGTCAATACACTGTTTCCGAGTAGGATATCAATGTTAAATTGCGGTATGGTATCTCAATGGGTTTGACTCCGAGTAAGAATAGGTCTTCAGCAATCCATGCTTGCCGTAAAATGCGACTATGCTTGTCGTAAGAGGCGACTAACGGAATCGGGTGGTCAGGCTCGCTAACTTGATGACTAGTTGATGCAGTAGATCGATGCTCATGATGTCAATCACTGGAATGTCTGGTTCAGACTCGAATATTTACTAACCGACGTCATATACCTGGAATATTGCTGAGCGCGGCTTTAAACAAACAAACAAACAAACCGGCATTAGTCTGTACTAGTACAAGCAGCAACATACACGCTATATAAGTGCAATAAGCTTTTACGCGACGCTAAAACCCCTCTTCACCTCACATCACCGCCGTCATATAGCTGGAATATTGCTGAGTGCGGCTTTAAACAACAAACAAACAAACAAAGCCTGAAAAACTGTTCATAGCGAACTCAAGTAGAACAATTAATGACAGAGCATAACGTCCTCATAGTCACTGATGCCATCGTCGGTGAGACCTTGTCCGATATATCAAGTTTCTGTATTATCAGGTCAGCGGGTCACTGAGACATATATGTATATTCTACAAAGTGTCATTGCAGGAATTCTGCAGAACCGATTAAAGCTGTCGCTCGGGAATCCGTGACATTATCTCCACAGATTCGCATGGACTTTAAGAACATTGGTCGTGATGCGTGCAATGTGACACGAGTCTCACACACGTGCTTGCTGGGTACTAGAGTCAAGATTCTTTATTTTAAGCTTGGAGGCCTCGTAGCCCAGAGTACAATACATTTATATCTCATTTATTTGTGGGACTTACACAATTGATGTACAATTATTCCATAATATGTGACGTAATACATAATGCATATGTTGTTGTTGTTGTTTTTAGTTTAATTTGTTACGTTTAAGACCTTTGATTGTTGAATTTGTTGTAGAGGACATTAGTTCAAATTTCTGACGAGAAGGATGTTTATGGTAATATAGTGGGATGAATGTATTTCTTCTACTATTTCTACTATTTTTATAATATGAGTGAGTGAGTTGGTTTTAACGCCCCTTTTAACAGTATTCCAGTTATATCACGGCGTGTCAGCTTAATGTGGGAGGAAAGTACGAAGTGATGCATATCTCAGACGTTTACCACTTCGGTGAAACCCACGAGCACGAGTATGGTGCTGACAAACCTAGAAACATAATTGGGGCGAATCGGGATTCGAATCCACAATCATAAGTTTCTGGCGTGCCCGAGGGACGCAACTCTGCACAGGGAATCGCGGCGCCTTAGACGACTGGGCCACCCGTGCCCCCTTTAACAATATGAACAGACTAGTACAAAATGGTACCCATCCTCAATAACCAATTCCCCACAGTGGCCACAGTATAGCAGCAGCTGGCCAACATTAGTTTTTGCATTATTTTACGATAACGCAGTTATTGTATTATTAAACTATGAGAAAGAGTGCGAAACTTAGCCAACACAAAGAGTAAATCTTTATCTAAAACACCTGATGTGATGATATACATCTCTGGCCCTAGTAATGACTTGTATGAATTATAATGTGACAGGAAATCTAAGCTCGTAATCTTTTGAAACCAATTCTGTATCTCTATATCTACGCATGGGCGGACGGGTAGCCGAGTGGTTAAAGTGTTCGTTCGTCACGCCGAAAACCCGGGTTCGAATCCCGACATGGGTACAATGTGTGAAGTCCATTTCTGGTGTCCCCCGTCGTGATATATCTGGAATATTGCTAAAAGCGGCGGAAAACCATCCTCCCTCACACATCTCTGTTTAAACATGGTTTGAAACCCTTAGTATTTCCACAATCCTGTGCAATCCAGATATAAGCCCAACCTGTTTGAAATCATAACATTCTGACATATGAAACCGACCTGTTTGAAATCATAACATTCTGACATATGAAACCGACCTGTTGGAAATCATAACATTCTGACATATGAAACCGACCTGTTTGAAATCATAACATTCTGACATATGAAACCAACCTGTTTGAAATCATAACATTCTGACATATGAAACCAACCTGTTTGAAATCATAACATTCTGACATATGAAACCAACCTGTTTGAAAACATAACATTCTGACATATGAAACCGACCTGTTTGAAATCATAACATTCTGACATATGAAACCAACCTGTTTGAAATCATAACATTCTGACATATGGAACCAAACTGTTTGAAATCATAACATTCTGACATATGAAACCAACCTGTTTTCACACTACATTGCATAAAGTGATGCAACACCGACATAACGGGATCAGTTCGTGCAAACTGACATGATACTCCCAGAACTGAAATAAGTTGTTACAAAAAGGCCCCAAACGGAGTATAAAAGAAATGATTCTGTATTACCATATTAGTTATATTTTCTATGCCAAACGTAACACATGTTGTCGCTACAAAGGGGCAGAGTTCGTCCCTTGACCACGCCCGAAAGGTGTGTCAGAACCATTACCGTGCTCGTGGGTTTCACCAAAGTGGTAAACGTCTAAGACCGGCATCGCTTCGGCTGACACGGTTGTACAACTGGAATACTGTTAAAAGCGGCGTTTAACACAGCTCCCTCACTCATTGGTTACAAAGTGACCCGTGGAGACGCCGGGGTAGAATAGGTCTTCAGCAACCCATACTTACCGTAAAAGGTGACTATGCTTGTCGTAAAAGGCGACTAACGGGATCGGGTGGTCAGGATCGCTGACTTGGTTGATGCATGTCATCGATCCCAATTGCGTGGATCGATGCTCATGATATTAAACACTGGATTGTCTGGTCCAGACTCGATTATTTACAGACCGCCGTCATATAGCTGGAATAATGCTGAGTGCGGCGTTAAACAACAAACAAACAAACAAAGTTACAAAGTATACCACCATAGTCTGGAGTGGACTTGAGATCAGTGATGTCCTCGTTTAGGTATACTGTGAAGGACTGGCTTGATTTCTGTGTACGTCGGTGTTGTCTCTGACGAAGGCGTGTATAATTTTGTTGATTTTCCTCCGAAGACAAATTATTGGTTGGGGCGTAGGTCCTTGCAGTAGGACTGAAGATCATATAGCTCAGTATCACTCTTCATCGGTCGATTATTGCGTGGATCGATGCTCTTGATGTCACTGGATTGTCTGGTCCAGACTCGATTATTTACAGACCGCCGTCATACAGCTGGAATATTGCTGCGTGAACACTGTGACCATCCGATCCCCGATTTAGTTGACTGCAGCGACAAGAACGTGCTGGTGGGAAACATGTCTGACCCAGCATGTCTATGACATGAGAATCCTGAGATACAGTACACACGGAACATTATTGTAAACAACTAACAACCTAACTAAACCAATACCAACAAAAGAAATTAGGGCGATGGCATCTACTATTGCTTAAGGTAAGCTTCAGTACCTAATTGTAGGAAGTAATTATCACCGCAATATCCACACCCCTGGTGATGTTGCTTGGCCAAGGTTTCACCTCCAGTCGTAACAGAGTCTGCATGGTGTTCCTGTACACGCGGCAGGCGATGATAGGCGCCAGACTCAACCGTTTGTAAGCTTCTCCTTCCACTAATTAGGTTAGTCGGCTCTGGTTGTCGTTACTTTCGACTGATTATTGACATGCTCACAACTGTTTAAAGAGGAGGAATACCAGGGGCAAAGTTTGTCTGCCCGTCCAGTTGATTAAGAAATGAAACACAGACTGACCGGCCTGGGGTTACTGTCATGGCTGAAGTCCGTCAGCTGTTCTAGCGGGCACTTTGGTTGGGTCAGCGAGAGTACGTTTAGGTTTTTGGGAGGAGGGTGTGTACCTTGTTTGGGATAATTTAGAAAGATTGAACCAGATTCTCGGCACAGGAACTAGTTACGTTCTCCATGCTTACAATAGTTGGTAAGGATAATAGTATCTTCAAGAACTGTCCTTCAAATCACCAACGTTTGTGGGATTTACCAGCCAAGGGTATATGTTTATTGGTTTGATGTATTCCTGCGGGTGTTTTCGTGCAGATTCAATAGGAAAATAAAATCAAATGTTGTAAAAATACGATCAATACCTTCCAACGGACGCTTAAACAAACACTCGTGAAAGGAGTTCAACTTTATTTGATTATTCTCACCCCGCAGTGCTGGTGTTAGTCTCACACAGATGTTACTTCAATGGATCTGGATACGCCCAATGAGGAAGAATAAGTAAGGTTCACAGTTTTGCCGATCTGACAATTCGGGAATTGGGTGGCATGATGGTTGGTGATTTAGAATATTTAATGGACGTAATCAGATGCGAGTTGGGTGTAACGGTACACGACTGATTGTATGGTTTGAGTAATAACAGCCTCAGGTTGCAGTTGGTTAAGCGTTACATAGGCATTGTATTACGCCATCTATATCAACATGTTTTCAAAATGTATGAAAATGGAACCGTCTTTGAATGTATATTTCACTGAGAATTTTGTAATGTGTTGTCTGACGAATGCCTTAGCCTCGCAGTGGTGTAGTTATCCAGATAATGCTTTACGAACAAGAAAAGAATATTCGAGAATTAACTCTGTATGGAACTGAAAGCACTTAAGGTTGAACTGAAGACACTATCTCACACACCATATCTAGAAGGCTTAGACACAGAGAAGTCAAAATACCTTGTGTCATCAATGATTTTCGGTGATCCATTCATATCATTTTCACCGCTTGTTTGCCTTACCACCAACTGAATCTGTTTAGACGAATAATCAAGATTGGTTATTCTCTGGCGTTTGCGTTATATATTTGGTTTCAAAGCCAGGACAACCCGTTTCCGCGAAGTATTAACACCCTCCTCACTTCCGGGTCGCAAGACATCGCACGAATGCAATGTGACTTATCTAATACATCATCTTGTTTCTGGCAGGTCATCAAGGCATGGGCACAAGGGGGCCGCCGCCCTGCCCGGAGGCCCGATTCCTTTCTGGAGCGGTTCGCCATGGGGGGCAAGGACATGCATCACCACCCCGGGGTTCGACAGAGGAAGATCTCAGACATACGGTAAGTTCGATGGACCTTCAGAATGTCAGTCCGACATACATGAATGTTTAATGAAGCAATAATAGCTTACCTTTTACCAACTACTATACGCTATAGGAGAAGGACCAATCTCATTAAAAACAGATCTTAGTTTTCGCTACCGCTAAACAAAGATCTGAGGACATCCCATTATGGGTCATGTCAGAACGACCTTTCGCGAATTTTGACCAACCAATGAAATGACTGACAAGAAATCGACATTAGCCAATCAGAAGGCAGCTTTCTCGAGCTTTACGACACTAGTTTTTAACTGGCGACTGGCGACATATTTTGACGTATTCTCGATTAAGAAAATTAAACTGATACGAAGAACATTCTGGAATGGCTTATAGATGGCCTAGATTGTATGGATATAATCATAAAACACGTAACTGTCGTTCGGAATACCCCGTGTTAAATAGTTCGTGGTTGCATGATTAGAAAACTTATTCCGACTGTCACTTTCATGATCTGGTAAGCGACGCTCTGATTGGTTGTATGAAAGGTCGTTCTGACGTGAACCTTAATGGGATGTCCTCAGATCTTTGTTTAGCGATAGCGAGAGCTAAGATCAGATTTTAATGAGATTGGAGAAGGACATGCTTGCCCTGTTCGTAAACACCAGGTGCCATCACTGATTTACAGTTATCTATTCATGTCATTTTCACCATTACTTTGGAATCCATTTAGGCAGATAATCGAGATTTTTTCATCGACATTATATATGTAATTGTGTTGATGTCATTCAAACCCGGACTGTCAGCGAGGCTAGTCTACACGTTATTATTTGAGCTAACTCACAGACCCGCATTCCATAGGAATACAGCTTAACTTGGTCATGCGAGTTTGTGGTTGTCAAAACTTGGTACTGGAACTGGCTGCAGGCAAAGAAGTAATCAATGATTTTGTTGTAAAGGTTTTTAGAATTTCAGGTGTGTTAACTACCATTGATCATTCGTTTGTCCTGTATAGAAGGATATATTGTAGTCAATAGATATTCTTCGCAAGTTTCTTCAATGGGATGTTATATGCATCAGCGAAAGTCGCAATATATAAGCTTCTAGAACTGCCTTTCAAAGTTCATGGCATATGACATTTTTTTAAAATAAGGTATCAGACATTATGTAATTCAATGTCATTTGATATGATGATATATGTTATAACTTTTGCATTTTGCTAAATCCATTATATTTTTTTAAATGATGTTTTCAATGTTATGTGGATTAAATCCACAATATTTATATATCCCATGCAAGCATTAACAACGTGATGAAAGGGATGTGCATTACACGTGTACGTCATAATTAGCATAAACAACACCGATCATTCGCGATGGGAAAAGTTTCGTGCACCAGTTTGTTAGGCATTACGCATGCATTCATTCTTAACCGTTCCAAAGCGGTAAACGTCTGAGACCTGCATCACTTCGTGCTTTCCTCCCACTGAGACACGCCAGATATAACTGGAATATTATTCAAAGCGGCGTTAAACCCAAATCACTCACTCAGAATGTTTATTAAAAGCAGTGCCTACTCAGTGTTTAGCTTGAACGTTTGACAATCAGGAAGAGAATTTATGGATGTCAACTTCTTTATTATAAGGAACACAACGTTTCGGAGTATATACTTACTCCTTCATCAGGTGAAAAAAGAATTATTTTCCTTATTCTCTTCTAAATGCCTTTCAAAGATTTGACAATCAGACTCGGATAATCCCATTCACATCTGTAGTACATATTGACCTCTGCTGAGAATCCGAATATATGGACTAGAAGCAAATGTCTGGAGAAACGCCTCCCTTCAACAGGGATAGAACATACAAATTACAAAGACACATCACAAGAGGAGATAATGTGTTTAAAGTCTGCATATGCATATATCGTTGACATTTGGAATCCCTAGTCGACACATTATACCTACCAAAGGAAATGGTGGCCCTTAACTCAAGACACCGACACCGAATAAATCGATCAAAAACTGTTGCTATGAAGACCTGGGGCGTATAACCTTTCGCCATACTTAATGGCAGTTTTGTAGAGGCTTTTAAATAAATCTCTCCTCACCCATGAAAGCGCACAAGGTCTACTTGCTAACCAAGACTCTGCCTCATGCAATCTCTTGATCAAAATGGCGTCGTCTATCATTTGATTGGTTGAAATCGGATCGCCAAGAGTCTCCAAACACCGGCGTAAGTTTCTTCAATAGTATTTCTCAGCTGGATTGTCTCTTAAGGTTTAAATATATTCTGAAAACAGCCTGCACTATCACCGATGGAAGGAATTGTTGAGATCTGATATATTGCATACACAGCCCCTCAATTGCACCAGAGACACGAAATAAGGACACGCGGAGATGAAGGAGACGATAATTGGCGCCTAAAAGAATGGGAGTGCATGAAAATGGTTTATATTAAAAGCTTTGGAAAATTCCAACGTCTCGCTGCAGATATTACGTGCGCGATCGCCGTATGTGATAATGTAATCCTTCCCAGCACAAATACAATCAACCATTGTTGCTCTGCTTTCAGCGAGTGGATAATTACTCCAGCATAAAGTGTGTCTTCACCCAATTGCTGCAACAAAACTAAAAACTCGCGGACTAGAACACGAAACTATATTAGCGTCCAGTGAAATAAAATTAGAGTTAATCGCCATGGTTTATCTTCCCTCATCCCCATATTCCTGTACACACCTTAGATTGTGATAGTTGCTCAAATGCAGGGGCGATCGATGACGAGAACCTGATCTCGCGAGAAACGAGATGTCTGCGCTGCCAACATTGAATTACTCTCGAGCCCAGTTGCTTTAGAAGCTTCATTACCACAAATTCGGGATCAATCTTCAAAAGAATTGGCACCAAATTCCTTCAAGATGTCTCTCTGTAGCTGGGACAGGATTACAGACAGTCGGTCCATACTGTCTTCAGTTCCCTTAGTCGCTCATGATCGCTTGCCCACTGAAGTCGAGTGAAGTTCAAATATTTTGGTTGGAGGTTATTTCAATGACGTAAGCACGTTGCGATTTCAAGTGCGGAGGAGAGCAGTGCCCGTCATGGGAGAAGTTCGTGGGCGACAGACGAAAATTGGCTCTGGCAGATGTCTCGGTCCATGAGATTCTTCATGCGTTTGTTCAAACTGCACGTGATCAAGTTGAGAAAATGGTTCTTATGATTAAGTTATTCATTGATAATAGGTTATAGTGGGACATGAAAACTGCCAAAATGTCACCAAAAAAAAGGGTTATCTTTGTCCAGTATAATGGAACTATAAGAGGTCAAGAACATTGTCTGCAAAGTTGTATGGTCGATTAAATGGTTTATTGTATTTACAATAAACTCTGTTGTTTATGTCCTATACACGCCAGAAACCTATGATTGTGGGTTCGAATCCCGGTTCGCCCAATAATGTTTCTAGGTTTGTCAGCACCGTACCCGTGCTCGCGGGTTGCACCGAAGTGGTAAACGTCTTAGACCTGCACCACTTCGGGCTTTCCTCCCACATTAACCTGACACGGCGTGATATAACTGGAATACTGTTAAAAGCGGCGTTAAACCCAACTCATTCACTTGTAATATCAGCAATATGTAATCGGACCACAAGCCCAAATTCTATTCTTTATGAAGTATTGTTGAATTAGTGAGAATATTTTTACGGCGCTTTTAGCAATATTCCAGTATTATGTGTCACCAGAAATGGGCTTCACACACTGGAAATACTGTTAGATATGTTAAACGAGAGTATGTTTAGGTTAACCCCGTTATCAACAACACTACAGCTATGTCATGGTGGCCAGGGACCCGCTCCACAAAGCGACCATTTACTCCAAGGTGAGGTGAAATGGGATTTAACGTCGCGTCCAAGATTATTGCACTTATATGTGTGTGGCTGCTTGTACTAGACCGGACTGATGTCGATTTATAGTGCTAGCTCACTGAGATACCATGCCGCAATTTAACATGAATTCCCCACTCAGACACAGTATACTGACTCCGAGCCGACCAGTCCTTGATTAAGCCCCTTAATGCCGAGCGCCAGACAGGGTAACAACAAGTACCATCTTTTAACGTCTTTTGGTATGACGCGTCCGGGGATCGAACTCCGGACCTTCCGCTCTCCGGGCGGAAGCTCTACCACTAGACCACGGAGGCGGTCCATTTGCTTCAAGACGAACCTTACTTTAACATAGTCTTACGATAGCCGTGGCGCTGACATCACTTCGTGGAAGGGAACGTGCACTTTTTACGGATGTAGTCCATGCGAACTAATATAACTAATTTGTTTTCAGAACTCGATTTGCCAAATCACAAAAAGCGCACCTCTTTTCAATATGTTGAATACTATCCGACACCTTTACATACAAATCAGTATCATCTTTACGAGAACTGTTCTCTCCTTGTGGTCGGACAGGTATGCTATAATTCATATGCAGCAGCCATTGTGTCCACGCAGGCCCAAGTTCGGCCATCCAATACACAATGACATACTGGAGACATATGCTATCCCAAACTCCCATCATAGCAAACGTAAGCGGGAGAAACTTACGAATATATGAAGGCACCCATGGAAACTAAACCTTTGTAATATCATTGCTGGTTGTAGATATTCATGCGATCTCATAGTTGTGCATAAAATAAAAAGATATAGATATCCATAATCACTTCATATCAGAATTTATTTAGATTAGACCCCCGAAAATACTTAAGTTGTCATGATAGAAAGTCAAATGTGTGTCTGTATTCTGACAAAAAAGCCCATCCAATCCAGTTAGCTGTGGCTACTCCGGATATTGTCGGCGGGCGTATGTCCGATGCTGTAATCAAACTGAAAACCTTCTCTAAGACGATTGCACTGTATATGACTTCTATCGAGGTCTATCTACCAAATGCGACAAACATGTATAATTCATAAGTCTTCATAAGCCATTCATATTATACAGTCTAATAAATCGGTTTTTTTCCCACCATCAGCTCTTGTGGCAGTCGCTG